TGATGCTGGGAAAGATTGAAGGTCAAAGAAGACGGGGACGGCAAAGGATGAGATGGTTGGACAGTGTCATAGATGCAACGAACATGAAGTTGGGCAAACTTCGGAGGACGGCGGAAGACAGGAGGGCCTGGCGTGATCTGGTCCATGGGGTTGTGAAGAGTCGGACTCGACTGTGCGACTGAACAACAACAGCAACATTTCTAGCAGTAGACTGATTATATAATTGCCTCTTTTGCTGTTCATGCCTGTTTTCTGAAGTCTGTAAGATCATGCATTTCTCAGCTCTCAATGAACTCTGGTTGCATGAGATGTACTTAAATCTCTGACAGTTAATTGAAACAGAAAAAGTAGATTAATTGCCTTTTAATAGAGATTTAAGAGTTTCGTTTGGCTTTCTTATCTTGCTTTAGAAAAGACAATACATATCAGATGTACTCCCATGCAGCTGTTTATCTCATAGGCACCTGTTGAATGTGTCATACATAGTTAAGAACTAGAGAGTAATCACATGATTAAGAAATTCCTGGAGATTTTGGGGGTGGAACCTGGGGAGGGTGGGGATTGGGAAGGGGGAGGGACTTCAGCCAGAGAGTCCACCTGTCAGCTACGCTGCCATTGTAAAGGGGGGGAGGCAGGGGGCCGCTGGGTGAACCTCTTAATGTGCTGGAATGTGAACTTTCATTTCTTTCACTGCGCCTTATCTCTTAGCTGGGCTTCTGACCCTGGTACCTCGTCCCCGTTGCTTTGCTGGGAACCTGAACCCGTTAGTTTAGGCGTGTTGCAGCTCATCCTCTGACTGGCCCAAGTCCATCAGGGGGCCCCACTTTCAATCCTGTATATCTCCCCCTCTCCCGCCCTCGTAGTTTGATCTAACACTGAACGTGTGCACAGATGACCTGCCTTGACTGCACTCGATACTTTACTCTGCTTCATAAACTTGATACTGCTGAAGGAACGTTGTTGAGACTGATTGCCCTGGGACTCTGACACCACCTTCCAAAGCAGCCATTTTCTCCAGGGGAACTGGTCTCTATTGCCTGGGGAGCAGCTGCAATTCCGGGAGAGCTCCAGCCACCACCTGGAGACTGGCAACCCCACCCCATCCTTCCATGTAGTTTAAATCTGTCTTACAAATAGTGCAGTTATAATTAAGGTAAAGGTAAAGGTTCCCTTGCTCGAAAGCCAGTCGAGTCCGACTCTAAGGTTGCGGTGCTCATCTCTGCTTCAAAGCCAAAGAGCCAGCACTGTCCGAAGACGTTTCCGTGGTCATGTGGCCGGCATGACTAAACCCCAAGGCGCACGCAATGCTGTTTCCTTCCCACCGAAGTGGTACCTATTTATCTACTTGCAGTTTCTTGCTTTCAAACTGCTAGGTTGGCAGGATTATAATGAAGATATAGCAAAAGCCACACACAGCCAATTTGGAAGACCAGAGTAACGCTCACAGCAATACAACAGTGTATCAAAATCAGGCTATTCATCAAATGGCTTTTCTGAACAGGACAATGATTTGGATCCAAACAGGAATTTTCTGGACACCCGTTCTGTAAGGCCAAGCCCCATGAGGAAAGGCTGAGGGATTTGGGAACGTTCTGTCGGGAGAAGAGGAGATATGGGGGGGGGGGATTGCTCTCCTGAAGTATCTGAAGGGCTGTGTCCCTTAGAGGAGGGCAGGGAGCTGTTCCCGTTGGCAGCAGAGGAGAGGACTCCCAACGATCGGTTCAAATTATGGGTGGGAAGGTAGTAGGGATAGTAGGGAAACAGTTTCGACAGTAAGAGTCGTTCAGCACTGGAATGAGCCCCTGAGGAGTGTGTGTGTGTGTGTGACTTCCCCTGCCCCAGCGGCTGGATGGGCCCTTGCCAGGGACGCTTTTGGCTGATCCAGCACTGAGGGAGGAATTCGACTAGAGGGCCGCCTGGTCCCTTCCTTCCCCCTCTGAGATTCCAGGGTTCTCTTCCCAGGCTGCAAGTGCTTGGAGCCCCCCACGCCTTCTCCCTCCTGGTTCCGCAACCACCAGCGCGCTTACATGGGGAGCGCTGTCGCGGAAGAGCTCTGTGAAATCCCCAAATGTGCAAATAAAAATTAAATGACTAAACCGTTCGCGGGGAGGGCGGGATGATGATGATAATAATAATAGTAATAAAAAACTTTAAACAAAGCTTGTGCAAATATCTGCCCCAAGTCAGCTTTGTTCCGGACTACGCTGTCCTGTCAAAGTAGCCTCCCCACGCCTTTTCTTCTCTCTCTTCTCCCCCCCCCCGCCTAGAGGGCCGGAGGCTTGTCCGAAGCAGGGCGGGGGTCTCCGGAGGGCGCTCCCAGAAGCGGGGCTCTGCCGGGCTTCGTGAAGAGGCCGCCGTTTGGCGAAGCGCCCCCGGGGAGGCCCCGGCCGCCGTCGGACCTCGCCTCTCCGCCCCCCGCCCCGGCCGCCCCGCGGAAGTGGCT